CTCCAGCACTCGCAGTTGGTGCAGCGAGGGCAGCTCCGACCACATCGGTTTTCTTCATACTACAAGTGATGAGGTTAGTGCTCATTCCTGCCGAAGACAAATAGCAAAAATGGATCCACTTACTTCTCCATTGACTTTCCGGGGACAAAGTCTTTACTCAGTCCCAGAGCGTCCCTCATCTTGTCGCGATTCTGAAATTTTTTGAAAGTCATTATACACAGTCAGCTTACAACAATGGTAACATAGAAAATATGCTGAAGAATGCTAGAAGCAATGTGACCTACAGGCCTGAATGCTAACCTAGTAAAGCTAAGCAGAGCGGCGCCCTTCTGCTTCCTTTCCCCTAATCAATCAGGGAAAATTCGCGAGAGAAGTTGAATTAGTTAGGGGAAAGGAAGCCTTTATCGCTCAGACCTCCTCCTGAATCAATTTCATGTCAGCGCTACGTGGGAAGGCATCAGTTACGCAGTTACCTCCCACACTTAAGGCTCTGAAAAGGAAAATCTCCTGACCCAAAAATCTACGCATACAATAGCATCTAATAATGCGGATCGAACTGAACATAACGCTACAACCATGCTTCGCGACGGAGAAAAGGAAAAAGAAGAATCGGCGAAGCAATGTTTCTGGAGAATGAGTTCCAAAGGGGCAGATGATTACCGGAACGGTCGCTAGCCATTCGAGTTTTGAAAAACGGCTGGTAACTTTGCGGTAAAGAGTTGTAGGGAAGTCACAAACACTCCACGTAGAAGAAACAATGTTAAGACTTATATCTAAGTCAATCTGCAGAGCACAAGCTTAATGTTTAGGGCAACTCCTGCCACTGGGGTAAATTCTTGTAAAATCCCCTCTCAAAAGTTTTTTCCTCTGGTACCACCCTCCACCACCGACCCCACCTACCGTGTTCCTAAATATTCCCAACTCCCTACCACGTATTCAGGACTTCGCCGATCGCGACGAATCGCTGTGCATAGCACGATCTTCTTACTGTGGGTGAAATTACACCGGGAGGGGTCATGTTCGTTCGTGTTCAACTCAACTCAACAAACAACAACAACAAAGTTCTGGGGAGTCGTACTGATATCACCATTTCTCACATCACGATGCTGTATCCTGCCTCCAATAGGCAGTTCCAAAAACGATATAAAAGTAGTTCGACCTTTTTTGATGTCTTTTATTCCGTGTTCATATTCGCAATACTGACGTTTGCAGAAACCGTCGAAAGGAAAGGTTGTGTATAGACCTGGAGGATGGCAGAACAAACAAAGCAAACACAATGTGACAAAAGTAAAGTGAATATCTGGAGAACTGGCAAAATCGGGGGAAGGGAGAGAAACAACAATCACCCGCTGTTGAAAGTTCTGCGTGTCTTACTTTTGGAACAAGATGTTCAATACTCCGCTTGAACGTACTCAGATGCAAAATTCAGTATAATAATTAGCATATTGTATATTTAGTACTATTTTACATAGGAAATAATAAATAACTCAAAGATATTTCGAAACGTTCCTTAAAATTAGGAGGGCGTTATGTACACAAAGGAAGAAAGAAGGAAAAGGAAAAAAGAAACAGGAACAAATAAGAACAGCGAGTGACATGCCAGTGCTGCCGGGTCACTTAGCCAGACCTCCCGCGCCTACCCGTCTTGCGCTCGGGCCCCGTGGGCCCCTCGTGATAATTTCAACCGCACAGTAAGCCGCGATCGCGCGAGTCTCAAATCACGCGCATCGCGGGATACGGCGGCGATCGGCGAAGTCTGAACGCAGCCCTACCACGTATTCCTTCAACTTCTCCCTAAGGAGGTGGAGCAGGGGGGAAGGTCGCAGAACATCTGCGAAAAGTCAACAGCTTGAATAACTGGAAAGCTATCCTGCCTCACCAAGGAAAGGTCAATCAGGTCAGCCCGCCGATCCTCGCAGTGAGCTGGCACATCGTTGATCGCGTCTTGGGAGCGTGGAGCGTCAGAACTGTCTGTTCAAAAATTGCAGAACGATTTCTCTAAAACGGGTTATGGATGGTGTTTTATCCGCGCACCGGTCGTTTTCACATGCCTATCGCGAGAACGTGAAGCGTCGTTTACATTTTATGGTACGGAGTTGTTCTGAAAACGTGGGCAGCAAGAGGCGCAAACGACCTGAGCGAGCGGGTTTTACTAGGGCGAAGACGTCGTATGGATCGGGCTGCCGGGGCAGACGGCTTTTTTTGCATTTGTCCAAGAACATAGCCGACAAAGCTTCTAACATCTCTGCTCACCTGCACTACCTTATAAGAAAACCTACGATCAGTTTTTTTTCGAAAGTGTAGACTCATTGTGGCCTGAAAGAGTGCTTCTGCTTGTACCCCTCGTAACACGTGTCACAAAGGGTTTTTGCAATGAAATACCATCATATTCATGTTCAGCGGGTTAAATTACCCCTGGGGACAAGTTTCTAGCCGAATCTGATTTTTCGACCTCACTTGGAAAATGTGGGGGCTATTCCATGGGTAATTAGAACAGTAGATTGGAGGCTCAGCTCTGACCAATCCGATGCTGATCTCGGAATGGGATTTCCTCCCGTAGCTCAGAAAATGATGCAGACGGCACAAATAAGTAAGCCAGGTACTGTTGTTTGCGAAAAGACATGACTGAAGAGTTATTTCAGTTCGAAGACCAGTCATCACCAGTATGGTAGTCATAGTATGCTGTTGGCTATTCATGTCAGCACATGGCCTATCCATACCCCATTTTTTTCGAAGTTGAGTCAGAACCTCAGACCTTCGCTAAGGTGACGTCCCTAGGGTTATTTGCCCCCTGAACACGAATATGATACCTGTTTTGCGCGAAGAGCGCTGTGAGTCGCGCTACATGTGCCAACGCTTCGGCGCCAGCGCGCCCGTAAGAAGAAAAACAGTAAAGAAAAACCTCCATAACTCCGCTCAGAGAATCGTTCTGCAAATTTTGAAGACAGTTCTGAGTTCACCGCGTGTTCAAGGTGAGTACAGTGATGCTGCATTCTCATATCCAAATGGCGCAGGCTGAGCCTGTTACCTTGTCGTGTCAGAAGGTCAAACACATCCTCCCATCTCACTACACGAATAGCGACGCTCTCGATGGGGTTCCCAAACGAACGTGGTTAGCTGTATGTAATAGACCTAGGTGGACCAAAGCGGCGCAGATCGCGCGACGAGCGGGGGGTGTGGCATTGTGCACTCTCGAGCTATATCACATCTTTTCGCATGAGCCAAAACAAGGGTTGAAGGTTTTTAACCTATTGGTGGCTAGAGCGAGCTTGCTAGCTCTCACTAAGAGTTCAGGACTGTTTCACCAGAGCGCAACTTGTGAACCGCCAACTAGTAAAGCAGTGAAGGTATGAAAAGCCCCCCCCTCCCCTCGCCGAACAGTGTCGACCAAAATATTCTATGTCTCACAAATAAATATGTAACTTTTCCATAAAATACCAGAATCTTACAGGATCGATGTTGCTACAAACGAAAAAAAAACAATGACATCGCACCTTCACTATGAAAATTACAAAAAAGCAAAAATACCTTAACAGCGGCTTTTGCTCTGGCGTGTGAATCTCTAGTGTCAAGCTCAGAATCCAGGTTGAGTTCGCCCGACTCGAGTTGACCCAGCAAAAGTTTCCGATAATCCGAAACCTTCTTCTGTATTTCATCGTCATCAAAACCCTTAAATACAATAAATTATAAAAGGAAAAAGGATACTCTTTGCCATTAATGAACCCCTTTCCAATCAAAATCGTAGTGGCTTACTGAGGGCGATGTGGCCTATACAATGAATCGCGGGGCCAGCCAACGTACAAGTCAGTGTTCATATCCTACTAGACGAATCTGGTACCAATTTACTGCCCCGATTACAAAAGGCCTGGTTGATCTACGCGAGAGCTGATCCAGGAGGTGATTCACGGACCGTGTGCGTGGGAACCGTGCTACTTGCCATTACACCACCCCTTCCTCACAAGAAATGATAGGTCACATACACACGTCAAGCATATCGCCTGAGTTTTTTTTGATAGAAAAACAATTCGACGTCTTTTCTTTTTGCTTCCCTGTTTTACTAAAGCTGAGGGTATTCCCTTGACAGGATGCCACCTCAGGGCACGTGCAAGATGGAAATCCAACTATTTTTTGACACACTCCTTCCCATTTTTTACAAGTTTGTTCGAATAAATTTAGCAACCTTTTTTATTCTGATCTGAACGAACCAACCTTCTCTTCCATAAGCATTTCAAATTCGGCACATTTCATTTCAATGATTCTCTTCCTTTGATGCTGAAGAATCTCTTCATTGGGGCCTTTATTGATCTGTGCTTCTGCTCTGCGAATGTCAGCCTCGCTATTATATTCAATACGTTTCTAAAACAAAGGAAAATATCGTTAACTTGTTAGAAGCAAGTAAAAAAATGGAAACAGAGAATAACGTCACCCTTGATAACAGCAAATTAGAAAGATTTGCTTGAACATATCCATTTGTGCCTGAACCCCTAGCCGTCTGAAGACCAATACCGTTGTACATGGTTTAAATGTCCTGAAAACGGCCTCTCTTTTGAGGTACACTAAAGATACCGAAACGAAAGAAAGAACGAGCGAAACAATACGAAATGGCCTTGGAGCCATTTAAGGAATCCTTGTAGAAGATTACTGG